TTTTTTTTTTTTTTTTCGTATGATTCAACTTTCCTTCTTTCATCCAGCCTTGAATGGATGCCCACTGTGGGGTACCAGATCAATATAGTAGTTTCCATCTAATTTTCCATGTTTTCGATTTGATTGTCCGTTATTGTTTATACATATATACCAACCCCGGATCCTCCCACAAGGATCAGCACAGTAGGATTCTTCTCACCAAGCATGGCCTACGATTTTGAAACCGTTTGAGATCAGAAGATAAAAATCTTCTTTGATCCCAAGCCCAGGTCTGTGCCTGCAGAACACCCAAGCTTCTTTTTGCTGGGGGACCCCTTGAGTTCAGTGTTGTGTGCATTTGCTGCAACACGAAACCGTTCAAGACTCCTGCCTCCGTTAACTTACTGGTTGTTAGTAGGGAATGAGATCATGTACATTCCCGACTCACAACCAGAAAGTTCACCTGGCTGGGTCAAGCAGGGACGGCTGGCAGCCCACCTGCGCCTACGGGTCCTGCGCGACAGGCTGGTGAGGAATCTGCACAACTAGCACCACAAAGAGAAAGCCGAACAACTGTCGGTGTATGTGTTTTGAGCATGATACCATCAGCAAGCACGGCTAAGAGATCGGTGTGTTTTACAGGCTGCAGCAGTATGGCCTCTGTATTGAGTCTCTTCAATTTCGACGCTTTCAGGTTTGCTTGGACCCGACTTCACTGCGACAACTCCAGGGTTTGGCATGGATTTAAAGAAAGGAATCTGTGTCTGCACTGTCTCTTCCTTTCCCGTGATGCGTTTTGCAGCTCAGACACGTAGCACAACTCTTCCTTCCCCTTCTAAGCTTGAGCTTGATTTTACATGCTGTGGCAGATCTCAGCTTGGCAGAATGCCAAAGTTCATCAATATGGCGGGTGATGTGGTGGTAGAACTTCATCCCGACACTATCTGTGGTTCAAGCTCCCTGGTCGGCGAGATTACGGAGCGCCTGTCCAAGATTCTGAACTTCTCCAGCTTTGGCATCAAGTTGGTGAGCTCTGGAATCGTTCTTGCAGATCAGCAGTCCTGGCATGAGCTAGGGAAGCCCCAAGAAATCCAGCTAGTCACCCTGCCCTTGGTAACCCACTTGGAGCGGGACTTGCTGGCAGCTGTTCGAAAGGAGGACGTGTGCAAGGTTGAGAAGATTCTGCAGAAGCCCCATGATGCCGCATGCACGTATCCTGATGGCACGCCCTTGTTGGTTGAAGCCAGCCGCAAAGGTAACCACGAAATCGTAAAGCTGCTGCATAGAGCACTTGCGGACATAGACTCGACGGGACGGAACGGCCGCACAGCGCTCTATGAGGCCATCGCTGCTTATGACCTGGCCCGTGGGCATTTCGAGGTCGTGCACTTCCTGGTCGATGCGGGGGCGAACACTGACAAACCTGACTGGTTGGGAAACACTCCCCTCCATGCGGCTGTAAGTGGCGGATACAACACAGAGGTGGTTCGCCTGCTGCTCAAGGCTTCTGCAGACATGGATCGGCCCAACAGCCAAGGGGTCACCCCCTTACGAGCGGCCGCCCGCTGGGGCCACGTCGAAGACGTTGCCGCGCTGCTCGAGGCTACCTCCGATCCCAACAAGGCCGACACCTCGGGAGGGACAGCGCTCCTGGCAGCCGTGCTGCGTGGCAATACGCGAATGGTTCAATTGCTGGTGGAGAAGCAGGCTGAGGCAAGGGCTACGCCTCTGTTGTAGAGATCCAGATGCAGCTTCATTAAACGCCCCCCTGTCCGATTGATCTGATCTATCTCCGTTCTGGGGGAGCCCCCGAATAATTATGCCAAACATGTAGCTTGAATCTACCTAGAACCATGTAAAATCTGATTACAGTCGTTGTCCGACAAGGACATTCTCCGGGAATATTGTAATTTAAAAGTTGTGTTCCGGCGGCGGGATTTTCATAAAGGTGGGTGTAGTCCTCAATGTGAAGTCAACATTAATGGAGTAGGGCAGCAGAATTATCCCAGGTGGACCAGGGTCAGCAGCATGAAGCTCCGCTACTGGCCGCCATTCACTCACGGCATGTGGAAATCGCACGCTGCCTGGCTAACGCGCAGGCGGATGTGAGGAGGACGAGTGCCGACGGCATGACGCCTCTCCATGCAGCTGCTGCCCAAGGACACCTGCCCATGGTGCAGTTTTTGGTGCAGGCAAACTGTGCCCCTGATGTGAACAAGGCTGACACTACTGGTGACACTCCGCTGCTGTCGGCCATCTGGCTCGGTTTTGCGGACGTCGTCCGCTTGCTGATAGACTGCAGAGCTGACGCAGACCATGCAGACAAGTCGAACAATACGCCCCTGCATGCAGCTGCAACGCAAGGTGACATTGCCATCGTCCAATGCCTATTATCAGCTCGGGCAGACCCCAATAGCTCCAACGATGAACGTGATACGCCCTTGTTCACAGCGGTCTGGTCAGATCATGTTGAACCTGTACGCCAGCTCTTGGACGCGGGTGCTGACATGCAGGCAACCATTTCTCAAAACTATTGCTCCCCCAAACCCCACCTGTCAGCACGTGAAACCGTAACCTATGCTGTATATGTTTTGCAAAAGCCCGAAAGCATGCGACCCTGCTCGCTCTAGGCAGTGGATGGCAAGGGCAGCACTGTGGCCCATGTAGCCGCCCGCTTGGGTCGGGCTCCCCTCATCCGGGCCCTGCTTGAAGCCAGGGCGAATATGGAGCGAACAGACAGCCGCGACCTCAGCACATGGGCATTTTTCGTTCGTGTCTCAGCGGTTTGAGGTAGATGACATTTGGGCCTTGGCAGGATACTATAGAGAGTAACAAGCGCGGCAATCCAGCTATCATGGTGCTATACGCATCAAGACAAAGATCCCATGAAGCTTCCATTACAAAACTCGCAATGTGAGCTGTGAGCAAGATCAACTATGTCAGCACCACACTTGTGTCAAAGAGGATGAGACGTAGGACGCCAAGAAGAGGTGGATCATGTCCTCTTCGGGATTTTGGCGATTTTCCAGTTGAGGAGGTGCACCTTTATGCAGAGCCCCACCCACTGAGCCCCAGGCTCTATCCAAAAACCTCCGCGCAAAGTGCTAGATTTTACAGTTGTAGTCAGTTATCCTACAACTTCCCCAAGAGACACACACACACACACGACTGCATCCAATCCAGGAAACTGTGAGCCGCTGTAAAGCTCACCATCCCTTTCTTCAAGATCATTACGTGATCATTGCTGCATGGCCCCACTGCAACCGCAACCCCAAGCCCCGACGACCGAGCCGTTAGCCCTCAACTCTACATGCAAAGCCTACAGCCGGAAGCTTGAAGACCAACACCCAGAACACTTGTAGACCCTAAACCTAAAACCTCAAACCTAGACCCTAGAAGGAAAACGTGCTAGTGACAAGAGGCCTAAACCTGGAAGTTCAAACCCTCGTATAGGGATTGTATAGGGAGTATATTCCCATATTCCCTAAACCCTAGACCTTCCCCAGTAAGTTTGAGAGGCCAGGGCTACACACCGCTACTCGAAGCAGAAGCCGGAGCACACCAGGAAGTGGTGGATCTCTTGCTGCTGGGAATTTTGATAGTTTCCATGAAAAGGGCATCCCAACAAAGATCCCAAATATACTATGTTCCTTATCCTGGGCCCCGAAACGGGAGCCCTTATTTTGGGAAGCCCCCTTATGGGTTTGGGGGTCTCGGATTTAGGGCTTGGGGAGATCAGGGGTTAGAAGGTTTAGTGTCTACCGGGTGGGGGTTAAGTGGCTTTCAAGATTTTAGAAGTTTAGGGGTTAGGGGTCTAGAGTCCGTCTTCACGCGCTTTTAGTAGGCGTGATTCTCATTCCTTTCCAGCAATGATCCAGGTTGGGCCGCTCTGATGCCTGGGATGCAGACAATGGTCCACCCTCCTTGGGTCCTTCTCGTACCTATGGGTACCCATTGGGGTAATATTGGGGATATCATATTGGGATAATGGAAAAGAGACTGGAAACTACTATTTAGGGCGCTCCATTCTGAAATAGCTCAAAATTCAGGATCCTAAGGTTTAGGGTTTAGATCCTCAGGTTTCCATTTTCTTTTCCATTATCCATCCAATACATCCCCCAAGATATCCCATAATAGTGTAGGATCCCGAGGCTGCATTTGCTTGTCTCCGTCTTATGGGCCGAGAAGATTTCTGTTTCTAGCCTTCTATGCAAGGTGTCTGTTTGGGATGGTAGTGAAGGTTGTACACGGCTTACACAGCAGCTACGAAGCCATGCTGCTCTGGAGCTCAATCATGATGGCTTTGTTACCTATGGGAGCGGAGCAAGCTGGAGATCTTAGTTGCTGGGTTGCCGATTTCCTTGTGCAGATCTCATGGGTACTAGCAGATGCCAGAAAACGCCGAGGCCGGCCGAACTGCAAGGAAGCGCCAACCCTGCATCCTCTGTGCTTGCTTTAGACCCCAAGCCCTGGACCTTGAAGCAAAGCATAGGATGGAAGCCAGAATATACCATGGCCGTTAATGTCATGGTCGTGATTGTTTGTACATCTATGTCACATTCTACACTTTCCAACGGGTACGAGAACACAGATAACAAGTATACATTTGCTTAGGTTGGCAGAGGTGCGACTCTGAAGTAGCCTCCTCTGCGCCTGGAATGGGGGGACAAGGTAGTTTCAAACCAGGTCTGGGAAGTGCTCGAATGAGTCGGGTGGACCTTGCCCCTCATTCCGGATGAAGGATTTGCCTTAAACTCGGCCCTTAGTAGTTCAGGGTTAGGCAATCAGGGGTGCTTTTGGGGGGTGCCTCAGACATTGGTCGCGTCAAGAGCAAGAAGGCTCCTTGCATGCTTTTGCTGCATAGAACGGCGCTCCTATTTTGAGACAGAGCATTACAAGCAGAACTACTGAGGGCCATTTGTACACAACGCTTGCGTACCTGACCCTTCAGCGCTGGGCCAGGAAAAATGAGAACAGGCTGCCATGATTTGCAGGTGGTCTGCAGGTGGCTGGTGAAAGCTCGGTTTGAAACAAGGGTTATAATGGGGTAGTTTTGGGATAATGGAAAACAAGATGGCAACTACCATTTTTTGGTTGAGGGTTTAAGGTCTAGGGTCTAGGGTTTAAGGTCTAGGGCTTAGCAAACAATAGGCGCCTCTACCCTGGCTGTAGCTCTTTTTGTGAGACCTATTGGATCCATGCAGAAGTACAAGCTCTGCAGTACGATCTGGGGACCGACAAGCGTTGGACCTACACTCCAGTCTTCACAAATCAGGGTTACATGGTAGTTCCTTAAATCAGGGTACCCCAATGTAGACCCCAATATACTATAGTCCTTATAGTAGGGACCCCCAAAAGGTACCCCTAGTTTGGGAAACCCCCACATTGTTGTTACTGGTAACCGCCATTTGCATCAGCACATTGACATGTTGATGGCTCCCTTGCGCAAGCGCACGTGCGCAACAATCAGCCAGGTTATCCTACTAGCCGTGCAGCAGAATCTTTGCGGCCTCTGTGTTCTTCCTAGATTCGTGGGCCCCATCTGACAATGGCCCGAATCGTGGCGCAGTTTGGGGTTAGCCCGAATGGACTATTATGAATCCTGAAGCACCGCACAATGCAGGCTGGCTTGGTGCTTGAGATCAAGGGCCTTGACTACCAGCAGCTCACGCGCGCCCGCCTAGCCAAACAGCCTTCTTGAAGCCTTTGTGGGAACTTCATTATGGTAATCAGGGCCGTTTTATGGTTCCAGGGGCCATTGGCCGTCTTATTCTTTTCTTTTCGTTTCTGCTGGGAGCAGGAGCCAGGTTGACACGAGCGCCGGAAATTCCCAGGAACAGCCTTGCGAAATTCTTCCGCAAGCCTTGCACCCCTTAAAGCTCAAGTCCTAAACCTGGAGCCTGGCATCGTCACCCTTCTCCTGAAATTCCTGTATAATCCTTACAAAGTCATCCAAAATCATTCCTATAGGGCCATTAAACCTATCCTAGATAAACCATAGAGCCCTCCACCCTCATCTTGGAGCCCTCAAATCAGAACAGCATTTTGGAGCTACTTGAGTGTTTCCCAAGATTTAGGGGTACTTTTTGGGGGGTCCCTGTAGTAAGGATAATCGTATTTTGGGGTCTACGTTGGCGTCCCCCGATTTAGGGACACTGCCACATTTTCTCTTCGATAGTTCTGGGGATGCGCGGCCCAGCTTTAAACACCCTGACCAGCAGGTAGTCGAAGGCTTAAGATGGCCGGAATGCAAGGTCTGGGCGGTGCATGAAAGAGGCTTTTAAGTAGCTGAAAAAACTCTCTGAAGGAGGCCCCCCCATAGTTGCGTGTATGGCCCACAAGGGAACTGTCCTGAGTCAACGGTCATCTGGGCCATTGTCCTCGGAATAAGCAACAAGGTAGCGCTGTCTCGCATCGTTTACTAGACCTGCAGATTACTAGGCTCATGTAGGGACTTTTTCCGTGTTTTTCAGAGCCCTGTCGAGGTTTTGTATGGAGGCAGGTTGAAGGTCTCTAATTGCCAGGTTTCTGCAAAGCACTTTCAGCATCCAGGCATTCTTGAAGATTCAAATCCTGCTTCGAGTTCCCGTAGATGCGGCGCATTGTTCCTGTGAACAATACATCTGCTTCAACATGTGGCTTTCTCAGTACGAGCAGGCACAAGAGTACTCACAAGTTTAGTGAAGTAGTAGGCCCTAAACCCTAAACCCCTAAACCCTAAACCCTAAATTCTTCAGCCGAATTCTCCAGAGCCCCTCATTAGAAACGGAGATGTTCTGAGGAAGGCCAAGGGGGAGGAGCAGCACGAAGTCGTGGAAGGCTCGCTGCTTAGGGTTTAGGGTTTAGGGTTGAGGATTTAGGGACTCAGGGCCCAACATGCTGAGGCTGAGGATGGGTTTGCAGGGCTTTTGGATTCAAAAGGGACGAGGTCATCCAGATCTTAGACAAAGATGCTGATGTGGCCTTCGTTTGATCCAATTTGGTAGTAGACTCCTTTGCCCAAATCCCTTCCTGCTTTGTTAAATGGCCGAGACAGCTCCTGTGCAATGTGGGTTTTCTAATCCGTTGCATGAAGGATTCGTACTGGATCTACCAAATCACTGTGGGGTAGGGTAAAAATACTGAGTACAGGAGTCCGGAGACCGCACTCCCTGGGCACTTGTGTTTCGAGGAGTTCTGACGACAGCTCACATGTTTGCAGGGTGCCGAGCGCGTCTAAATGCTTTCAAGATGAAGTGCCATCACAATTTTAGTCAGGTCAATCCTTACCACCTGCAGGCATCCAGAATTGCGCAATGCGCCCCGCTGGAAAAAGAATTGCGGCCTATACCCATGACGCTGTCACCATACTGCTATTGTTATTAGCTTGCACTCGCTAGAAGCAGGACTGCGATCGCAGTGCCTGAAGTGGGGCTGGTGATGAAAGGGAAGCACACTTGCTGCTATCTCGGAGACTGCCTGTAAAGGTCTGCGCTCAGCGATAGCTTGGCGCGCAGGACTTGAACGAGGTCCGGAAGCTTGTCACGGACAGGGTGAACGGAGGGTCATGGGTACATATTAAGTAGGTTAAGAATGGAGATAGTTGGGGTTCTTATATGGCCTATAGGGGTTATTAACCTACTTCTAAGTCCCCATGACCCTCCAAGCAGGGGGTACCAAGGGTGTATACAGGGGAGTTTTTGGTGTTCCGGGCCAGCGAGAGTATTTTGCTTCACCAGCTGGTAGCAAAAAACAATGAAATGCAGGCATAATTCGGGGGATTAAAGAGCTTGTTTGCACGAATTTGTTTTTTTGAGCGCGCAGTCCCACAGACGGCCAAGGAGACACATCCACTACAGAAAGGTCTCATCAATCATCAGCGGGTCTTTGGGTGCTTTCTGTTTTACTGCAACCGCCTCCCGCGCCTACACGGGAACACCAAAGCGCGTTGCTCAGCCAACAGACTCATACCTTGATTCTCGTAGGCATAGGTGTAGGTCTCGGACCATTTTTGGAAATTCGCCTCGATCCAAGAGAGGGGGAGACTTCATGGGCTCCCCTACTACCCCCTTTATACTACTCCCCCCTAGGTTCCCCCCTTAATTATCCTTAATTAGGCTTAATTATTCCTGAGTAACCCTGATTAAGGGGGAGCCTAGGGCGGGTAGCACGGAAAGGGGTAGTAGGGGAACCCATGAAGAGTAGGGGTCAGCTCCATCCGGACCGTCCGAGACCAGTCATCGAAACCATCAGGATCGGTTGAAGAAGACCCAGAAAGGGAGGATCAGTCTCATCTACAATATCTATTGCCCTGGTGCTGGTAGGCAAAGCCCAGAGGAATCCTCCTTGTCCAACCATGGCCCAGATGCGGAGGAATCACCCTAAGCCCTTTGCTTACTGGTTCTTGGTAGGGAATAAGGGAAAATCATCCCTATATACTCCATATAATATATTCCCTTATTCCCTAGTAATCCTAAACCCTAGATCTTAAACCCTAAACCCTAATTCCTACAGAATACATGCCCTCATTCCCCGCGAAGAGCTGGTACGTTATCCGGAAGGTCGCAAGGTGGAAGTCCGCGATCTCGATCTTTCGCCTCTCCCAGGGCGTCCCAGCAGCAGAGCTGAAGGGAGGTTCGTAATTCTGGAATGCTGTTAAGACACGTGAATTGCCATATTGTGGGATTACATAGTATGGGTTTTAGGTTTAGGGTTTAAGTTGCCATGCTATGGGCACATAGCCGATGATGGGGTTCCTTTTTATAGTGATTTTATGTGGTTTTAAACACTATAAGCTTGTTGGTGAGCTACTTAACAAATTTCAGCACGAGCCAAATTGTGCTCTTGGTTCTGTTTCCAAAGCTTGGAGCATTCAGGGATATTGGGCGTCACGGTCTTCGACGATGGTTTTTGGCATGCTCACATACACCATCGAGAGCAGAACCAGCAGGCCAGCTGCATGTAATTTTTTGTGCCGCGGCTTG